TTAACACCTAAAACCAATAAAAGCAGAAAGAGATTTCAGACAGCTCCGCAAATCCTCACTGTCTGAGAGAAACACACGACAAAAGCAATTGTTTGATGTTGACCAAGCCTAGAAATGTTCACTGTGACACTTTAGTGGATACGCCTCTTTAATTGCTTCTTAGCACAAATGACAAAACAAGCAATCAAAACACAGCAGAAAAAATATATTCAGAAGTCAGAAAAAAGAGGCACTACTGCGAGCAGAAACTGTACAGAAGACCATGAAGGTGTACAGAACAACATTTCCAAATGCAAAACCAAGCAGGATGCTGTTTCGGTGAGCTAAAAACAGGAAACTGGATCCTGAATTTGCTCTGGCCTGAAGGAGTCTAGAGAGATCACAATCAAAGCATAGCTGGATGGAAGAAAATAAGTCTAGCATCATCTAAAACATTTCAGATAGCTTCCATTTTGATTCCAGCTTTAGGGAAAATATGTTAGGAGACAAGAGGAATTTAATTCAAGCACCATATTCAGGTTTCCATTTGAATAGATGTGTGTAACATGGAAAAGCTACGCAAGAGTCTAATGTCTGTTTTGGTTAACTTGATTCTTTATCCACCTCGTCTGGCTGATGTTGGCTTGCAACCTGTTTTTGAAACACACCCTCCATGCAGACGTCATGGCAGCACAATAATGATCATCATAGTACTAATGACCACACCTCTAAGCAGTTAGGCTGATTTATGCCATTCCAGGAACAAAGTGGGTATTGTTTAGGTTTAAAAAAAAAAAGATGCAAATTATGGGTGTTTTTCAGCAGATCTGTGGGGAAACGAAGCAGATTCGTACACATGATTCTCGATGACCATGTGGGTTCTGCAGAGACATTTGACGTGATACTCACTCTACCTGTCAGTGCAGTTTCTTGGCATTTGATTTGTGTTGTTTCAAAGAACTCCACGTATAACTACCGTCTCTGTGAGGTGATGCACTCTGACAGGAACCAGTTCCCAATGGCTGCATTTAGAGATTTAAAACACATCATACAAGGAAACAGAGACATTTGAAGTTTCAGCGACTGAATATTGGACCCAGAGCTTTTAACAGTGTGACTCACAAAGGTCACACAGCTCTGATTCCCTGCAAGTTTCACACCACAGACTTTAATTCATTTACTTGCCCAACTTATTAGAGACCACATACCGACAAACACACCCGACCTACATATGTGCTAATTGCAAGTTCTGTTTATTACATATGCCAGCTGCTAAGCTCTGAAAGCTCCAAAGATCTGCTTCCTGGGAGTCAAGCCAGACCTGCCCCCCTCTCACATCACCATGGAGAGGCCCCTCCAGTGCAGGATGAGAATGGATTGCAGGGATCCAAGCTCAGCTATTTAGTTCATTCACAAATCTAAGTAAAACTTATTATGATCTTTTTAAATCTTTGTTTTTCAGTGCAGGATTTTAGGCTGATTGTTTAATCAAACTAAAGCGTTTAGGGCCTCTCCCTTAAACCAACAATCTGTACTGGTATAATAACAGCGTCATGCATAGAAAACTGGGTAAACTGGGAGAGGCTGTAAACATGAAACTGACATCCCAGCAGCCTGGCTTTGCAACAGGTGCAGCAGCTCGACAGGTGTGAAACTTACCTGAATGGGAGCTGATGTTGATTATTTTCAGGAAACTCTGATCCAGGGAGAGAAAAGGTTCCTACGTGTCTCACTGCTTCCCTGCGTTTGTTGGAACATTTAATTCCCCGGATTGGCGGAGTTGCCGTGGGGGACAGCAGGTACAGTAGCAGCTGGAGGTCTGGGAGTGGCTCTCACCTTCGGGATTTAACTCTTTCCTCCCCTTCACTGAGCTCACCAGACCTGTTCCTAACCTGTTCCTGCGCGTCTGGCTGCGCAAAGCGCGACCTGCTGCAGTTCAATCCTCCCAGGATGGAGTCAGCTGAAATCTGCTGCTTTTTCTGCACCATTACAGGAACTCCTCTTTTTTTCCCCCTTTACGCCCATTGAAATGGGAAAGCATTCATATGCAAATGAGCTGGCACTGAAAACAGAACCCAACTGCTAGAAGAAGTGGGTCAGACCCAGAATCCCATCAAGATTCGGATCAGTCTCACATTTGAGATCAAAAACACTAAAACCAGCTTACAGGTCAGAAAATTAAAAGTTTTTATACATAAAGTGGACTTCTTGTAGAACCATCTAAGTTATGTAATGCAACCATCAGCCCATTTCACGTTTAGTCAACTTATAATACAAACATTTCATCAATTTAGCTGAGTGGAAAAGGTTTGCTGATAAAAAGAAAAAAATGTTTATTGATCTTTAAATATTATTTTAGTTTAATGTGAGAAAAAAAATCAGAATTCTGATTTTGATCTCAGAATTCTGACTTTATTCTCAAAATTCTGCCTTGAATCTCGAAATTTTGACTTTAATCTCAGAATTCTGAATTTTTTTTCTGAGAATTCTGACTTTTTTTCTGATAATTCTGACTTTAACCTCAAAATTCTGACTTTATTCTCATAATTCTGACTTTTTTCTGAGAATTCTGACTTTAATCTCGAAATTCTGCCTTAAATCTCGAAATTCTGACTTTAATCTCAGAATTCTGAATTTTTTTTCTGAGAATTCTGACTTTTTTCTGATAATTCTGACTTTAACCTCAAAATTCTAACTTTATTCTCATAATTCTGACTTTTTTTCTGAGAATTCTGACTTTTTTCTGAGCATTTTGACTTTTTTCTGAGAATTCTGACTTTAACCTCAAAATTCTGACTTTAATCTCATAACTCTGTCTTTTTTCTCAGAATTCTGACTTTAATATCAAAATTCTGACTGAATTCTGACGGCTAACACACATATTAGCATCAAGCTGTAGCTGTGTTTGTTTTAGTGACTAAAGGAGCTCTCATGATTTAATCACCTTCTGCTCCTCCAGTAATGAAATAGCATCACTGGGGACCCCTCGGGCATGTAAAAAGTTGCCTAATTTGCCCAATGTGTTACTGGCCCTCCAAAAACAACTCACATCTTTGTCAGTGAAGCTGAGTGCTCCCACATCTCATCCTTCATGGTGCCCATTTACATTAAGATCCAAAATTCTGAGATTAAAGTCAGGATTCTGAGATTAAATCAGGATTCTGAGGTTGAAGTCAGAATTCTGACTTTTTTTTCTCATATTATACCAAAATAAAATGTAAAAATCAGTTCACTTTCTTTTGTTTTTTCAGTGGCCCTAATCCTCATCTGTAGTCTTATGTGTTAGATCAATGCAGCAAAAAGAAAATATTGGTGCATAAAAAGTAAACCCCAAATAATAAAAACATTCAAAGTGTGGACTTTTGTATGTCATCAGTATTCAGTTACCATGAAGACCCAGTGCAGAGGATGGGGGTTCAAACAATCATTTTTGTTGCAAATGAGTACTTCCAATGAAGATTTTGTCCCTTGTGGTATGTCTAAATGAACTATTAGATTTTAAGGAATAAAAAAAATGTACATTTTTGCACACATTAATTAATTTTTACAACATGTCAAGTGCTTGTTTTGTCATAGATGTTCAAAGAAAATCATAAATATTATGTAACTTTCGACAAAATCCCTCTGTGATCCTTAGCATTTATAGGATCTCAGCTGTCAGCGTTTAAAAATGACAACCAAATCCTCTCCTTGTATTAAATGATAATTACATCAATCAGAAACTCCAAATAACTGAATAACAAAAGTTACATTTAGATGCCATTGAGTTTTCTTTCTGCTTCTTGGAGAGGGAAGTGAAATAATGTGAGGTTAAATAACAAAGTCTTACACTGTGGAGAAATCTCAGCCATGCAACTCATTCAAACACAGACGTATTATCATGCATGCTTGCAGGTTTTCATTCTGTTGTGTTTTTATGATAATAGAATCATGTCTGATCACAAAATGTTTGTCCGTTTTAATTTTTAATATTAATTTCTATTCTAATTCTACCTATTCAGTGCACCTTTTAGATTTGGAAATCAGTTGTACAATCTGCATTATAGAAAGGCAATTTTATTTTAATTTAAAATATTGTAAATTTGATTTCAGTTTCTGAATAATGACAGCTGAATGCGCTAAAGACCCCCCGCTACACATCTGATGTCTAAAATGATCAGAAACAGGAAGATCTGCCTTTGGAGTTCCTTCTACAGAGCAGTGGGAAAGTATTTACAACCTTTGGCCTTTTTACCATTTTGTCCTAATTTTTCAATCAAACAGATTAATGTATTTTACTGTGCTTTTATATTATAGGCCAACCCAAAATTGTTTTCTCTGCTGCATAAAAATATAAGCAACACTTTTCAGGTTATAATTTTGTAAACAAGAGAAACTATATAACATTTCCTTCTGCACAGCGGTGAACTAGCTTGTGTTGTTCTGTCATAAAAATATATTCTAGATAATAAAGTTTCAGATCATTAAAGGTGGAAAGTTCAGGGAGGAAGAATATTTCTGTGCTGCAGTGAACGTATGATTTCCTCCACTCAGAGGATCCATGTAACACTTTATAAAAGCACAAAATAAATGTATTTTTGATTTCCCTGCAAATATCGTACCTTAATATAAATCTATATTGTTTCATTCTAATGGAATGAAAACTGTGCAGGAGTTAAAAACATATGTGCATTATGTTATTTACTTACAGTGGAGTTAAAACCCTCTATAAGGTACAGTATTTATTATTCATTGTAAAACTTCATCAGTTTATTTGGATTGAAGGACTTAATTGTCTGCATGAAAACTAAAGTAGAGAAATTCAAATATCCAAACTTTTAATTACCTTTTTTTTTCCGTTTGTTAGTTTTGTTTTTCTCAATGATTAGAAACCAGCAGTTCAAATTTAAAAGAAATGATCTAGTAGTTTCTCCCACACTGGAAAGTAGAATTGCGCCATCTAGTGGCTACAAACGCATCTCCAGCTCGCACGTCCAATAGGACTGATAACATTAAAAGGTGACTTTGTCTAAAATCATTACCTGCTCTTTGTCTGCTGTCAGAGCTGAACTTTGAAGCAGCGGGGCTGATTCTTTTGGTGGGGATCCAGCAGGATCAGGAGGCTCAGGAAAGGAGTCACAATCAGTTATGCTTATTTCAGGAGGTGTGTCATAGAAGTCTGGGGGAGGCAAAGGGAAATCCATATCATCCATGATGGGTTGGGGTAAATCCACATGTTTATCCTCCACACAACCCTGTGGCTCCTCTTTGGATTTGTCTCCCTTTGAGATTTTTGCCTGCTTCGATTTTTTTTCTGCAGGCCGAGGTTTTGCGTATAGTTCTATGTCCTCAGATATGTCTGTTTGTGGAGCAGCTGATGCCCTGCGTGATGAGTTTGGGGACATCTCTTTCTGTATGTCATTCAAACTGTGTGCACGATTGCGTGCTGCTGGAGCATCTTCACTTTGCAAGTTCACCCACAAACCAAACGTAGAGAAGCGGATTGTTTCTTTTGATTCACTCCGAAGACGAGTCACTGTTTTTGTATCAGGGGATGTTTTCTTGGTCATGTCCGCTAAGTTGTTCTTTGCCCCATCCACTGGTTTACTTCTAGCCAGACTCTTTGATGATTCTGGCTTCTTGGGAACAGAAGAATGTCCAGAAGGAACTGAGACCTCTTTCACGTACTCTGCAGGGACGTAAAAGGGTTTGGAGTCTTTGTCTTTGCAGACTTGCCACCAGTGATCGTTGGTCTTGGAGATGAGGATGTACCTCTCGTTGGGTTTGATGGAGATACGCCGGCCGTCCTTTGCTTTGTACTCGTAGTCGAACTCCACCGCCACGAACGCCATCTCACCGGCCCTCCTGTGGGAGCTCAGTTAGCGCGGGGGCAGAGCTGACATTGTTGGAGCTGCAAATAGAGGAAATGTGATTTTAGAGTAGGTTTCAGAATGAGAAATGTCAACAAGAAGCACTCAGTTCTTTCTGCCACACTTCCACCTACTGAAACAAGTTTCTGTCCCTGTCCTGTTTTTGTTGCTCAGTATGATTATGAGCAATATGTCACTGCATTACTGCATAACTGGTTACACTTTATTGTATGTTTATTTTATACAACCTCCCCAATATGAAGAAGTGTTTTTTTTTTAAATCAGAGTTTCTTACAGCATTACCTTTTGAGCTTTTTCTACTTTTCTTTTAAAGATTAAACAATGTGCTTGGATCTAAACCATTATATTGACTCCTTTCCTGCAGATCTAGTGTTGTTTTTCTCTGGTTGCTGAGCCTCAATCCTAATCTCACATATTAAATCCTCTTACAATTTTTCTTCCAAGATTGCACCATATTTAGGTCCATTGATCTTCACATCTGTTCAAACTGACTTTTCTGCCCCCTCTAAGTAAATTTGTCCCCAAAGTATGATGATATTGATAGCTGGCCTTAATTGCTCATTTCACTCACCGGCCTAGTTGTGCCCGGTTCCTACTCATCTCTGATGTCATCCACTTGTAGGTTCTGCTTTATATTTGGTCCAGCCCAGCTATGAAGGCCAGATTATTGTTTGCTGTTTGTATGATTTCTGTTTCTCCTGTCTGTCAGTTTTGTCGGTTTTAATTATTTCCAAGGTTCATGTCCCTGTCCTAGGAGGCCAGTGGGTTTAGAGGGTTTTGGTGTTTGTCTTGTCGTCTCTTGATCGTGTCCTGGCTCTTTCCCACTGAGTGCTCGTTGTTCCTGTTTTTGCTCGTTGGAGGGGAAGCTATTTTAAAGTCCCGTAATCCTAGCTCCTAGGTGGAGACCAGTTTAAAGTTTCTGCAGTTATCCTGGTACCATGTCTTGTCTCTGTCCTTCAACCACTGAGCCTGCCTGTCTGCTTCTGTGCGTGTCTGTCTGAGCTCGCTGCTGGACTCTGACCCTGCCTTCATGCTCTGTGGATTCCTGGAACCCTGGATCTGTCTGTTCCTGTATGGATCAGATCCCCTGACCGGGCTGTGGACTCCTGGATTCCAGAACTGTCCTGTCTGATCTGTTTTCTCTGACCTGGATCGGATCCCTGCCTGCTCCCTGAGGTTGCTGCATCAGGGACACTCTGGGCAACTTTGCGCCGTAGCTTGTTTGGAAGTCCATTGGTTGGCTCCTGCCTTCCTCAGAAAGGATGGACTGAACTGATTAATCAAAGTGTAATTGACTGGGCGATGCCCCGCCTCCCCCCCTGTACCCACTTCTGTTCCGTTATGTGTTTTGGGTAAAGAAACGCTTTCAACTGTCCTACTGACTGTCTCACCTTAAACACTGGGTCCATTTGTCCCTGTTTTCTGACAACCGCAACCCTGCATTACCTTTAAGATGTTCATTCTTTTTACAGTGATCTTCACAAATGGTTTTCGACACACACAGCAGTTTTGATGAAGGGAAAAGGTTCTCGTCTGACATAAATATGTTTGCTGTGTCCTAAACATTAATTTTCCAACAGATCAGATGTGTGATCCATGAAAGAAATAGTTGTTGACAAATGATGTGGTTTGTTCACTTATGTTTTCTAAAGAAAAACTGGATTTTTAAAGATTTTTACAGACTTTGTTATCTCTTTGTCATAACTTTTGTACATGAAAGAATGCTGGTGGATCTAGGTTCAAACTGTTAAATAAAGGTGCTTGAAAACTTAAGAGACATCCAGGTAAGGTGATGGATTCGGCGTAATGGTTTACTAGTGTGTCTTTTTGCATTAAGATGTTATTTTACTTCAGTTGGTTTTAAATATGGTTTTGTTTATTCTTATTTTTCTTGTTTTATCTTTATTTTGATGTGCAAATTATACTTCAATGGTGAATTCAAACAGTTATATGTTGATCAGCAAATTTTCTCTGTGAAAATTATTAGAATAAATCTATTTAAAAAACAACTGATTGTATTTATTATACATACAAGACAAGGTTATATTTAAGACATTAAGACTTTGTTAACTTAAGCAAACTTTAAGTTAAGACTTTATTTAGGGGTATCAGGGTAAATATAAATTTAACAATTTTGAAACCCATCAGCTGTTTTCTATTCCTCATTTTAATTTTTAAAATTCAGTGTGATTCAGGTGTAACATTTTGATAAAATACTAAAGTTGTGGTTGTAACCTGACAAAACAAAATAAGACAGGACTGTTTTTTACAACTCTGTGATGACAGGTGTGAGCAAAGAGGAGCAGTTTGGCCAAAAAGAGAAAGGACCCTGTAGGTCAAAACCTGTGAAACAATCAGTTAAACCTGGTTGATTAGTTGTTTTGTTTTTATAACAACAGGATCAGATCTGATCTCCTTAGTAAACATGTAATAACAGGATTTATCAACTGTCCCTGAAGTCTGGGGTCATAAAATGGTTTGAGCCCGATCCTGGAAAATGGGGCGTCCACAGGAAGTGGACCTGCTGTGGTCAGAAAGCCACCTGGAGCTAAATTTGTTGAGAAGAGGGAGGACCTCCAGAGAACACCAACACTACCAGCCCCCCAGGAAGCACAGCCTTCCACAGGAACTGCTAGTCATCTTTGTTAGGTTTGGCTTGCCTGCGAAACAGGACAGGTCCCAACTGTATCAAACAGACCTGCAGAGATGATTATCCTACTGCCCATCCCTTCATGATCTATACAGGTATAAGCCAAAATAAAAAAATACTCCACCACTCTCGGCACCTCATCCTGTTCAGAGCGTGTTCAAACTCTTCAGGGAAGAGCTACACAGTGCTACATGCAAAAACAAACCGCCACAAAGACTGCTTCTCTCTCCTCGGGGCGTCTCTCTAATGAACACAGTAAACTGTCACAGTCGGGTAGTCAGATGCTCCACTAGAAAAATCGAGGCTTTTGTATGATTTAATCTAGCTTTCCACTTTTTATTTACCAGCAACAAAACAAACACTTGGACAAACCATTTTTACATTGGTTGCTTGTTGTTTAGTCTGTTTGTTATCATGTGACCAAAGTCAAATTGATTTTTTACGCGTACAAACTTGCCTATTGAAGTTGATTTTGAAGTGCTGCTGGTTATTATGCACCATTAAGTGTCGGTTTATCACAAAAATCTTCCTTATACTTTAAACCACGTTCAAGGAGGGAAAATACTTTTCAATTGGATTATATATAATGTTGTAACACACTGATAGAGAATCAGGAGATTTGTTTTTAGGTTCTTACTACAGCTAAAACATTTCCAAACTTTTTATTTCAGGCAACATTTACTGACGCGGTGTCATTCTGAGGCTTTATGTATCAAATTAATGACTTTCTTCATTTTTGAGGGTGTTTGTCTCTTTTCTCCCCCCTACATATCTCCAGGAACCTGTTCTGGCCTTAGTACCTGATTTTTATCAAAAGAATGCAGGTTAACAAGACGGGTTTGATGGAATATTCTGTCTCGGCACACAGGAGATACACAGGAAGTCGCCTGCAAATGTAATTTTTTTGCTAAACTAATGCACACAGAACAACAGACTGCATAATGTTCACCCACAAAACAGGAAGCCTGCACCAAGCTCAGCTCTGCATCAGCGTGACGTCATCTAGCAATCTCAGTTTGCCTTTTTTTTTCATTCTTGCACTTAATTCATGAAACACTCAACAAAATTTTTTTGGGGGGGTGTTCTAAACTCCCTTCTGAAGCAAAGACAGAGGATAAGATCCTAGACACAAAACAAAATCCACTAATGTAAACTTTGAAATCCTTAAAGGGAAGGTAGTTTAAAATTAGTGTTGCCTTTAAAAAGTATTCTGACTTATTTTCAGATAGATTTCCTTCTAAAATTCCTCTTTAGTTTGGTATCCAGGTGTCATTCCACACAAAGCATTCAGCTGGTAAAGAGTCAGTAAAATAAAAAAAAGAAAGGTTTTCACATTGGAATCTGAAACCCTGAGGCATATTTGTGTGCGTAATGATCTCTACTTGCCTGCGGATGTGTGTTTTCTCCAGATTTCCCTTCTGAAAGAAAGTCGAGGAGCTGACTCTAACAAGGTTCCAAACAGCCTGAGATGTAGAAATGTACATACAGTTGTGGAGCTCCAGCCTGCTGCTCACATCTACTGTTTCTTTCTTCTCGACTGGCTCATTTCCTGTTCAGTGTGCCTTTACAGAAGGAGGCAAACTGTGAAACAACAGAGCTTTGAAAGCCACACGAAATGGGAAGTCTGACTTTACCCCCACTTGCCAGTGAGTTATTGGCATGTAAATTATTTTTACGCTGCCTTGCTGACTTGGAGCAAGCGGAATGTCAGTGAGTCATGATGACAGAGTAACCAAGCAGCGCCCTGAAACAAAACAGGCACAGTTATGTTTTTATTGTTGTCGAAATGAGAGTAAAAATTTATTGGTAATTTCAATTAAACCATAATTATAAATAATAATAGTAATAATGGAAAAAAAAAAAAAAACATGGTAACAATCATGTGAAGTGGTGACACTAGGAAGATAAAAAGGTGGATAAAATAAAAAGATAATAATAATGTAAAAGTATCTATCCAGCTACATTTATAAAGGCTTTACTCTAGTATGGCAGGTTTACTTTAGTGAGCGGGTTGACCCTGGAGTACGCCCTCTGCTGGAGGTTGATAAGAAGTGCAAAGCAAAGCCTTTGCTTTAAATTGAAATTATGTTATTCCAAATTAAATTTTGTTTCTCCCCATACAGTTTTCTTCTGTTATATTTTTTTTTAATTTTATTTCAAAAAAAGGAAAAATATGCTCATTTGGGAGCAACACTATCTAAATCAACCAGATCATATATTAGCAAATATAATTATAAGAAGAAGAAAAACCTGTCAGTCAATAAATTAGTTGAAAGTAACATGTTTACCAAAAATAATGCTGGTTAAAAGTAATAAAATAATAATGATAACAACACAAAAACTGATAAGAAAGAATATTTTGACAACTATCTGTATAGGAAGGGTTAAAAGGGCAATGCTTTGGGACTCCACAGCTGCAGCCATTATTGAAGAAAACATAACGGTGAACCTTCCCAATGTGAGATCAATAAAGTTCTATTATTATTATTATTATAACAAAAAGACTGGACAAAATTTATGCCACTACAAAAATGTGATGGATAAAACCTCTGTTGACCAAAAAGCTCAGAAGATCTGTCAAACCATAAGATGATGATCCCAGCGTTTAGTGGACTGACAAAAAATTAAAACAAAACTTTTTACATCTGCAGAAAAAATAACGTTTATAAAATAACACAAGATGCCTGTAGTTAAGCATAGTGTGACTGTCAGCATGGTGGTGGCAGTATGATGGCTTGGGGTTGAAAATGTGTTCAAGCTCCTTAAGAGTCACTCCAGATTTGATTTTTGTTGTTATACTATAATTATTTGCAACAGTTTTACATTTTGTGCTTTATTTTGGTATCATACAGGAAGTGGCAGTGGCCATAAAAAGTGTTTTATCAGACATTGGTCTGATTCTGGAGAAAAAAACTCACAGGAAAAAACATTTCCTTGTCCTCTTTTTGCAGCCTGAGACTCGTTTGGGTTGTCCATTCCTTCTTTTTGGGCAAAGTTCCACCTACTGTGTCAGAAAAAAACCCAAATGATTCCGTTGTGGGGTGGGAGTGGAGTCTTAAACACCAACATGGCAACAAAAAGTCTTGTAAGGTTTGGTATTTCATGCCTATTTCCACAGTAGTTGAAGTACTCATTCAGCAGACAGTCTTCAGAAACACTATATGATTTATATAAAATGAGAGGTACATAGTATTGGCAGATAATCACACTTGTGTTTCATAGGCATCTTACAGTATACTCCATTTTTTGCCCACTTTTACATCGGATGCCTCTCACAACATGGCGGCTGCAAGAACGTGGACCGACGTTAATGTCGAACAACGGAAGTTAACGTCGTGTCGTCGCGCTTCGTAAAGCCGGTATGAGATGTAGAAATAGTATTGTACAGGTAAGGAGCCCCGCCGATGGTAGGGCATCAAAAAATTAGAGAAAACTCATGTTGTTCCTCTCCACGGAAATCTTTAGTAAAAGGCGAAAGATTTATACGATCTGAAGAGAAACATGAGTGTATGCTGAGAGCTGAGAACAACGGGTATTTATACTCCAACATACAATTCTGCCTGACGGTGTTGATGATCTCAAGTTTAAACTTAAACTACTGAATTAAAAAAGACTATAAATTGAACGAACCATAAAGATCGTATCGAGGATAAGCAAAATTACCACAGCAAATACCAGTTAATGGATCTGTTAAGTGTAAATTCCAGCGGTAATAAGCGATGAAACGCATCACGCGGTGCATGATGGGTAAAGTACGATTGCTTTAGCGTTAATCGGTCTCCGCCAGTCACGTGACATTTGTTGCTAAGACGCCATTTTTGGTGGAAAAGGCGTAGTGTAAACAACCGCAACATAGCTAAACGAAGGACTAAAGGATTGAGTTTGTTTCTCTGACTATATGGAAAAAAGTAAACAGAATGCGAAATTACCGTACCGGTGTCGTGCCAAGGTAGTTATCCCTGCGAAGATTTGTATCCCCTCGTCGGGAGCGCGCACGGAGTAGGAAGAACAACCCGAGTTAACTCCGCTTCAATTCCAACGTGCAGAACTTGAAATTTTGAAAGGTTTTACGTGTATGAAAGTTGAGCTTTACTGTTTTATTCTTTACTTCACGTGTTGTAGCAGAATATCGCCAGTGATATTGATTTAAAACTGATTATAAAACACAAACGTTTGCTTGAAAGCTGGTCGCTGACAGCAGTGTCTACTCCTCCCTCTGAAAGCAAACAGATCCTTGTTCTTTTCCACACGTTCCTTTAAAATCTCTCATTGTTTCACAGTGTCCAAATGTTCTCATCCCATTGAAAACGGTTGTAAACCATACAGGTGCTGGTCATAAAATTAGAATATCATGAAAAAGTAGATTGATTTCAGTAATTCCATTTAAAAAGTGAAACTTGTATATTATATTCATACATTACATACAAACTCATATATTTCACTTTTTAAATGGAATTACTGAAATCAATCTACTTTTTCATGATATTCTAATTTTATGACCAGCACCTGTATACTTGTAATAAAAATGAAATAGAAAATGGAGTGCACGTGTAATCATTAAAGACTATATGCAGAAGGAAAATATTTTTTCCTGGTTGAAATTTAGTACCTAAATCTATATTTGTGTTTATAGTAACGTACAATTTATCTATGTTGTACTATCCTTAATAAACAGTTTGTGTTCTAACATCAGCCGTTTTATTTCACCCCATTTTGCCATAATTGGCAATATGGGATAAAATAAAACCTGCTGTAATCTGTTCCCCCTGTCTAAATCCGACAAAAAAGGCCCCAGCTTTTTCATTTTTGGCTTATAAGCATCTTTTATGATGACAATTTATTCCTGAAACTTTTGATGTGATTGACCTTTATTTCTTAAAGTTATAAGGGGGGAACAAATTATAGCAGGCCACCTGCTGTAATCTGTTCTCCCCTGTCTAAATCAGGCCAAAAAGGTCCCAGCTTTTTCATTTTTTGCATCATAAAAGATGCTTATAAGCCAAAAATGAATCAACTCCAAAGTTTCAGGAGTTAGTTGTCATCATAAAAGATGCTTATAAGCCAAAAATGAAAAAAGCTGGGACCTTTTTTGCCTGATTTAGACTGGGGTAACAGATTACAGCAGGTTCTATTTCATCCCATATTGCCAGTTCTGGCAATATGGGATGAAATAAAATGGCTGATGTTAGAAGACAAACTGTTTATTAAGGATAGTACAACATAGATAAATTGTACGTTACTATAAACACAGATATAGATTTAAGTACTAAATTTCAACCAGGAAAAAATATTTTCCTTCTGCATATAGTCTTTAATGATTACACGTGCACTCCATTTTCTATTTCATTTTTATTACAAGTATATGGTTTACAACAGTTTTCAATGGGATGAGAACATTTGGACACTGTGAAACAATGAGAGGTTTTTTTTAATGAACGTGTGGAAAAGAACAAGGATCTGTTTGCTTTCAGAGGGAGGAGTAGACACTGCTGTCAGCGACCAGCTTTCAAGCAAACGTTTGTGTTTATTATTAGTTTTAGATCAATATCACTGGCGATATTCTGCTATAACATGTGAAGTAAAGAATAAAACAGTAAAGCTCAACTTTCATACACATAAAACCTTTCAAATTTCAAGTTCTGGATGTTGGAATTGAAGCGGAGTTAACTCGGGTTGTTCTTCCTACTCCGTGCGCGCTCCCGACGAGGGGATACAAATCTTCGCAGGGATAACTACCTTGGCACGACACCGGGACTGGCAGCCTCTCACACAACACGATCGTGTCATTTCTGGTAAATAATTGTGCCGAAAGAACAGCCGCGTGTGAGTTATCTCGACTTTCCACCTATTATGGTGGTTTTCCCACGATGCACCACGCCCGAGGTAAACGTTGACGTCACCTGGCGCAGACCGATACTTGGTTGAGCTACCTCTGCAATATAGATATATGAGTGCAATCAATAAACAGGTTGGTGATGGCTAATTGGGTGGTAAAAACGAAAAACAAAAGCAAAAACAACGTATTAAACATGGAAAAAAATACATTTAAAATGATATTGAAGTGAATGTTTGAGGCATAAATGGAAACACTTTCTGAAGTATGAAATCCACGAATATATGCAGAATAAGAATGCTGATAGAATGGGACGAAATGAACTGCAGCTCATTATATATATATATATCGAATTATTACTATTTAAAATCAAGTGAAATATACATAGGATCATTTATTTTACACAAGTAACTTGGATAATTAATTTGATTATATTTTAGAGCTATACAGAAAACATAGAAAACATATTTCTACAGATATTGTATTTATTTTATCTTTATTTAATCTTTATTGTTTCCTCTTTTGCCATTTCCTCTTTCCTTCTGCTAATCTCTTCCCTTCGAGGGTAAATTTCTTGTTATTCTGAGCTTAATACCTACCTACCATTCTCCAACTGAATCAAATAAAGGTCACAATGTGATGCATTGCCGCAATGTTTCGTTGTTATCTTGAAATTACTTTCCTATTATTCAATAGACAAATATTCAATAGGCATATATTTAACTGTTGACTATCCTG